TGGGGGCAAGTAATATTCGAATTCGCTTCAATTGAGTCACGTGGCATGCGGGCGGGCACCTGTTGTGGTGAAGGATGTGATGAGTGTGGGAAAGTTCAATGAAGAATATGATAACGGGACAAGGTAAACACGTTTGTTGTCCCACGTTGCTTGCCGGAAAAAGAAACAAAATGAATAAGTGTTACTTTGCACCTTGATACACGATAAATCTCTTCTAACATCCGGCGTTATATCTTCTTTTTTTAACGAGAAGAGGAAAAATTGATAATTTTCTCGGAAATCCACATTTTTATTTGAAATAACGATTTGGAAAAAATAACGCAACGTAGGTAATGTGTGAACAATGCATGAAAATATAAAACATTCATGTTTATCAAGTCTTTGAAAGGCATTTAGAAGTGATACACATAAGGAAGAGAATTTGTGGATGTCGACTTCTTTATTATGAGGAACACAACGTTTCATCTAGAGTAAGTGTTCCTCATAATAAAGAAGTTGACATCAACAATTTCTCTTCCTTATTCATATTTCTGTAAGAGGCTTCTCTTTATATTTTGAAAAACACGCATGTGATTTTCTTTGACAATGACTTCAAATCGTCGTTTTGACATCTTGAAGTTTAATTTAGAAAACAAACAAACTAGCTTTGTTAGTTTGTTTCACTACAATCAATGAAGATCCGGGGTAGAATAGGTCTCTAGCAACCCATGCTTGCCTTAAAATGCGACTATGCTTGTCGTAAGAGGCGACTAACGGGATCGGGTGGTCAGGCTCACTGACTGGGTTGATGCATGTCATCGTATCTCAGTTGCGTGGATCGATGCTCGTGTTGTCAATCACTGGTTTTTATGGTCCAGACTCGATTATTTACAGGCCGCCGTTATATAGCTGAAAACTTGCTGAGTGTGGCGTTTATCAACAAACAAACAAAAACAAAATCACTACAATCAGTGGCATGCATCATCAAGAGATAATAAAATGTATTAATAAATCGAAAATGAAGAATCCGATTCGACTTATCAGTGGTCAAATATTAAAATAATTAAAGGTTTTCGCAAGGACCAGAGAAGCAGTTCGGCACTATCGAGAAATCGACATATCATATTTTGAAACAAACGGTTTTCAACTACATTAAACAAGTTTTGTTTGCTTCGCTCACTCATTTATTCAATGTGTACAGTTTACTATATCATCCAGTGGTCTGAATGTGATGGGATCTGAGCAGAGATTGTGGAGTTTCAAGTTACAGTGCTGTCATCATGCAGAGAGGGCTGGGGATGGCTTATCTTGAAGAGTGAGTGAGTGAGTATGGTTTTACGCCGCTTTTAGCAATATTCAAGCAATATCACGGAAATGGGCTTCACACATTGTACCCATGTCGGGAATCGAACCCGGGTCTTCGGCGTGACAAGCGAACGCTTTAACCACTAGGCTACCCGACCGCCCCGCTTATCTTGAAGACATTTAATGGAGATAACATTACCAAGCAAAAGCCACCGTGTTACAAAGTAAGTTGCGGTTTATGAAGCGGGTTAAACTATAGTGACAGAACGAGAAAATAAAGTGCTGGGCAAAAGAATGTATACACTTGATAATTGGATTTCACCAAAAGACTACAAACGTTATCAAAACGTTACTAGGCTGAAAACAGTTGTAGAAACACTTCAAACCTAATGTCCAAAACACAACGATGATACCCGTATCAAATACATCACCATGGAAAAAACATTTCTTGTTTGTTTCATTTTTTTGAATAGCCACCATCAAACATTGGTGTGTACATTCTTTTGCCCGACAGTTGAGTTGATAATGCAATCACAGGACGTATCTTTGTGTTTACTGATTTTTAAAACTGTCGTCTCAAATATTTGGAAAAAATATGCAATGTATTTTTTAATCGACGGATAATGCAGTTTCCTATTGAATGAAAACATGGAATGACATTAATTGAGATAATGAAAATCATAAACACAATCTGAATCGTACAATGGAGAGAGGTCTTTATGATTAGGGCCCACAATATAATACAGTAAAGTACGTTTATAACGAACACGATTATAACGAACTGACGGATATAACGAACTGATTTTTTGTCCCGACTATTTGCTATTGTTATACTGTATATATGCTTATAACGAACTACGGTTATAACAAACTCAAGTTAGTGGTCCCTTTGAGTTCGTTATAACCGTAGTTTACTGTACTCCGATGTTGTGGCAGTTGGGGGTATCTGGGATATTTGTCGTGCAGATTTCAGGATTTGCAGAGCACATGTGTCAACAGATATTTTCTAAATCTTTTCATGTTTTAATCAAGATGCTCAAGTCATTTGATTCACTTCGCGAAGTAAGAACCGTTCTATTATAATATAGATATTGATTATCGATCAGATCGTCTTGACTTGGCGCCGCCATTTTGTTTGAAGTAAATGGAAGTGACATGAAGGTGGAATCTGATTGGTCAAAAGGAGGGACATAAATCGTAATAGCCACTGGTGGCGCTATGATCGAGCCAAGAAATTCCAGCCAGGTTCGGGAAGGGTGGAAAATGGACTTTTACAGTCAGTTAATTTTAATTCCCTTGCCTCGAGAAGATGATGAGAGGTAATAATGGACTCACTGTAGAATGAGTTTTACGGACGCTTCCACCAGTATTGCGGGAGATCACGGAGACTTTGTACTCGGAAATCAGATATATGGAACCGATCCACTTGATGTCGGACTCTGACTGAGACCCAATCTATCCTTTTAAGTGCGCCCGCTAGCGTGTGAGGTACATTTTTTTCCCGCTCGAAATGCCGAACTGTTACCATTATATTTGCAACATACCGTCCGCAATTTTGTATCTCGAATTAGTTATGTACGACACCATTCCCCGGATGTTTACGATATTTTCCGAATGAAATAGAGTTGTTTTCTATCGTCTGCAACTTTTCGATGAATGTGAAAAATGAACGATTTTGACCAAGGCATGCTTGCATCAGACATACCTGCAATATAATTAGGTGTGCAGTGAGATACATTCATTCTCCACCGGTACCTCGGATAGCATGGGCTGCGTTGTGAATTTGTGTTTCCCGAGCACGACTACATTCGTGGCCAACTAGTGTTATTCCGGAACAAGCCGAATAGCGACTCGTGCCCCTCTCATGGCCATTTTTGCAACCGGGTACCGTCTTAGCGCAAACGGGCAAAGCTAAAACATTTGTCAACTCGTTGCGTAATGGTTAACATATATTTCCCCATATATTATATATATTTCAGATGCAATTTAAAGCACATCGGGACATGCGGAATTATACAGTATGATTGAACACATTTAACTGTGTCTTGGGTATATTTTTAGATGCGAGACGTATGTAAAATCAAAAATTATTTGTGAGGGATTCTTTGACGAAGAACTTGAAATCATGCGCGCATTCTGATTGGTTTGTCGTATTTTCGAACATAACATTCATCGATATGGGGACGAGTCTTCTTGCAGGTTACGGAAAGAGGCGAGTGGTGACGTATGAGCACGACTAATGTTCAATCTTTCTTCCCCACGTGATCAGATTATTTGACGACCTATTGAAACCCCATGTTCCAACGTACATGACGCAACGAACTAAAATGTGGCATTCCTGGTATCTTTGGGTTTCGGTGTGTTAATATCAGAATGGACATGAACTCAACAGAGATGCTTGTGTTTACTGACATTTTGATACGTGTGATAAACCTAATGTTTGTGCATGTGATCCGGGGACACCCGCGGCTCACACAACAAGACTACTGGCAGGACTTGTATTGCATGTGTTTGACTTGGTTGATGCATGGACCTATATATACACAAGTCCGTGGTTGATGCTTAGCTCTTATCTGTCTTTGTATGTGTTTGTTCTTTCACGCCGCACTCAGCAATATTCCATCTTTATGACTGCGGTCTGTAAATATTCGAGTCTGAACCAGACAATCCAGTCATTGATATGATGAGCATCGATCCACGCTATTGGGATATGATGACATGCATCAACCAAGTCAGCAAGCCAGACCACCCGATCCTGTTAGTCGCCTCTTACGACAAGCATGGGTTGCTGAAGACCTATTCTATCCCGGATCTTGCAGGAACAGATTCAGAATTCATTTTTATCCATTTTATCAGGCCCTTGGTATAAAACCTTAGCTCTTATCTGTCTTTGTTTTGTTTGTTGTTTCAATATTCCAGCTTTATGACGGCGGTCTGTAAATATTCGAGTCTGAACCAGACAATCCAGTAATTGACATCGTAAGTCTCGATCTACGCAATTGGGGTACGATGGCATGCATCAACCAAGTGAGCGAGCCTGACCACCCGATCCTGTTAGTCGCCTTTTACGACAAGCATAGTCGCCTTTTACGGAGAGCATGGGTTGCTGAAGTCCTATTCTCTACCCGTTGTATAGAAGTATATAGGCCCGTGAGTATATAAATATGTTCATTTGGACGCATTTAAGCAAATCAACCCTCTTAGGTTTCACAATTCGCTGTGCAGATGTTTCGAATCTTGATTCGCACTGATTACGTGCCTTGGTTTGTTAGAACCATACCCGTGCTCGTGTCTTTCACGAAAGTGGTTTATGTCGAACATCTGTATGGATTCTGGCCTTCCCCCACTTATATAACACGATATATAACCGAAATACTGTGCATTAAACAATATTCACTCAGCTTACCATATCATGCCTATCATAAATAGGAAAGGGTTTATATTATAATTATTTGGTTTTATATAATATTGTGTCAATATAAAATAAAAATTTAACATAATCTAAGCTTTTAAAATATTCAACGGGGGAACACAAGGAATGGGTCACAGGCACTGTACTTATGTTGAAAACCGAACCAAGGTTTTAGGCGCAACAGGCTAACACCTTACCTACCAGGCTATACCTCCCCCAGTTTAAATGCAAATACAAAAATCTTCCAACAGTTTACATAGAGGCAACAAGGCAAACAAAACGATATTATATTTAAAGCCTTTATTGTAATCCCGTTATGGGATTTATCACAGTTGTCAATGGCAGCACTCATGTGGTACCAGGGTTCAAAGATTTGATAGTACGATGGGAAGAATACATATGTATCTAGATGTTCATCCCAAAACAAGTCCATTTATGGAACAAATCACCAGGGCCTCCATGGAACCTGTTGCTCCGTCTTGATTTGTTGAGAGTAGGACCACGTACTCTGGAGCCACGCCCTCACTCTCGAGTCATCAAAGTTTTTGTGGATTCTTCTCGACTCCATTTTACAAAGTTCTGAATCTGAGAGATTGGATGAGAGATAGTGTCCGGTTCTGGGGGTGGATTGTTTGATAATGTCAGGAGAACCAGCATATCCACTGTCTGAGAAACTGTTGTCCTCCTTCACGGGGGAAGTGCACACTGTCCTGTTCATGTACGCATGCGCAGCCGGATGTGGATATTGGGAATTGCGGGAAGGCACTGCGCTCAGTCTCTCATAGCACTGATTTGTGTATGACGTCACATCATCTGTTGATGACGTCACGTGTACCTGTTGAATGTGCGTCATGCGTCGAGAGATGTGTTTTCTCAGCTGATGGTGTACATTGTCCGACACTCCTGGCAGAGACTGAATGTAGGAGAGGATTTCTTTAGCACATTTGGAGAAGCCATGTTGGAATCTGGCTTGAACTGCTTCTTTGACGTGTTGATGTGTGGTGTTGATCTTCCTGACGTTCCTCAGATAATCTACAGTCGTCTCCAGAATCTCTGCCTTCTCCATCTTGTCATAATTGGGGTCCTGGAAAAACGGAATAATAATAACATAAATACATGTTATATATTGTGTAGAGGAGAAATAGCACTTGCGTATCGGTGGATATTATTGTGTTTGTTTTGTTTGTTTGTTGCTAACTCAGCAATATTCCAGCTTTTTGACGGCGGCCTGTAAATAATCGAGTCTGGACCAGACAGTCCAGTGATTGACATCATGAGAATCGATCCACGAAACTGGGATCCCGTTAGTCGCCTCTGACGACAAGCATAGTCACTTTTACTTTTACGAAAGCATGGGTTGCTGAAGACCTATTCTACCCCGGATCTTCACGGGTGTATATGATTATGACAAAGTCTGTCCCAGATCACTGAAATGTGACAATACTTACATTTTGTTGTTGCTCTCGACACACGATGCCTTTGATTTCTGACAGACTCTGGTTGATTCTGGCTCGTCGCCGTTTTTCAGCCATTAATTTTCGACCCTGTAAGATAAAGAGATTAATTAATAAACAAAATATGAAATATTGTTTGAAGATGTGCCCTATTTCCATGAAGATAAAAATGTTTCTAGGTAAAAGAGAAGATCGGATTTTTCCCATTTCACACGAATAGTGCATTGGCCACGTGTTCCAAGTAGAATGACAGTTTGAAGGTAAATCCTATAAAAAATTACGACACGGAGTTTCTATGAACTACACGACTGGGACACAGTCTATTCCCATCAAATTAGTCACGTGCAATTTACAAGTGGTAAACAGACCATTTGAAACTTAATTATATGAGCAAACTAATGCCTACCTTTCTTCGGCCCATATATTCATTGTCGGATTCCGTGTTATGAAAGTAAGATTCCATCACTGCGATGTGGTCAGCTCTGAGGGACAAGTTAGTGTGATGGAACGCGGCCTCCCGACCCGCCTTTATACCCCCAACATTCCCCTACCCACGCTAATCTATGCACAGTTATGTTTTGACATCTGAATAGCCCGGCGCGATCCGATACACGCAGCCAATCAGCGCACGCCTAGCTAAGTGGTGGCACGCGCCGGCTCGCGTTAAACTTCACCCCGAGACAGATGTTGTTCTCACGACCCGACAGGGATGATATTCTTCAGGTGCAAGGAGCATCTTGCTTGGCGTGACACGAGGAGTTACGAGGACGAGCACCCGGCCTGTCAACAATCCGCCTCATTATGATCTTGTGTTTCATTAAATGGAATAATATTTCCACCTATTTGGAGCGTGACACGCGCTGTGTCGCATTCCGTCGCCTACCGTTACCTGGACCAGTAACCAGGTGAAACACCACGGACGGCGATAATATATACATATAACTGTGATAACTGAATAACGTCTTCAAATATACAAATCCTTCTTATGATTACACCAAGCTTTTGAAAATCATACCACGTAATTGTAAACAACATGAATAATATACAACTAGACGAAATTAAAACATATCGTATAAAATGGGTGAATGAGTATGGTTTTACGCCGCTTTTAGCTATATTCCAGCAATATCACAGCGGGGGACACCAGAAATGGGCTTCACACTTTGAACCCAAGTGGGTGAGTGAGTGAGTATGGTTTTACGCCGCTTTTAGCAATATTCCAGCAATACCACGGCGGGGGACACCAGAAAGAACCAAAGTGGGGAATCGAACCCAGGTCTTCGGCGTGACGACCGAACGCTTTAACCACTAGGCTACCCGACCGCCCCATATCGTATAAAAGCTGAACGAAAAACAAGGCATATGTTCAATACATTTGATTAATACCTGTTATGACTACTTTGTATTTACCATTATCAAATTTCAAATTTGATTTTAAAAAAGGTAAAAAGACAAACAAGTAAACAAATCTGGACTCGGGGAAAAACAAGCTCTTCTTAAATTCTAAATTCCAAACCACTTTTGGAAATTTTCGACTGTTGATACGTAAACCAAATAAAAAAACAACGAGGCGCCCAAGACAGCAAAAGAAAATATGGTACATGGATTATGACACCATCATGGTTCCTTATCCTAATTGGTCCACTTTACTTGTCGCCAGTCATTTGGAGATCACGTGGCTATTTGAATTTGGAATAGGAAAGATGATCATTTAGCGAAGATATTGTAATAGAGAAAACGCTGCTTTAAAATTTTGCAAATGCTTGTTTTCCAGTGTTTATCCCGTTATAGTGAGTGAGTGAGTGATTTGGGTTTTACGCCGCTTTTCACAGTATTCCAGTTATATCACGGCGTGTCAGCTTAATATGGGAGGAAAGCCCGAAGTGATGCAGGTCTCAGACGTTTACCACTTCGGTGAAACCCACGAGCACGGGTATGGTGCTGACAAACCTAGAAACATGATCGGGGCGAACCTTTATCAGTTATATGTCCTTATTACACAAAATATTATGTATTCTCAGTACATCGATGTGATGGTAACTATGTAACGTCACATTTATTAACTAACATTGCATGAGACTTGAACAAAATATTAATGTTTGGTTTTTAATCTAATACAGTTTCAAAAACTAAAGATTAATGTTTATTTCAATTCTGAAAATTAAAAATTGTTAAAATTAAAAAGTATTATAAATATGCACATTTGTATTTGAAAATATATTTAACAAGAGAAATTACATCCCCACTCTCCGTTTTAATGCATGAAACATGTTGCTACACATTAATAATACCTTTCATAAGCTACTTTCTTGTCAACACAACCATCAAACCGTCTGATGACCTTATCCGCTCCAACCAATTATCATCTGACAAAACAAAGTCGTTAGTGTCACAACAAGAACACAATGAGAGCGCTAATAGGCCTCGTTAGTAACCTACTGTAGCTGTACAGTAAGTGTTGGAACCTTCCGTCCTTGGCCAACAAGATGGTGCCACTTACGCCCTCGTGTCCAGACGGCGCCACGCTCATTGTTTTCCCTCAACTCGTAAGCTGTTTTTAAATATCACAACAAAAAACATGTTGAATACTTACACCAAGACACGAATACACCCGACCCCTTACAAACAGACTTGCTCCTAACACCCGGGGCTATAGAAAGTATGCACTTGAATGTTGGATTTTACCCCAAAATTACAAACATTATCAATACGTTTCTAGGCTGAAAACAATCGCCGAAACACTGCCCAATTAAAGCTCACAGGATAATACCTGTATCAAATACATCACCATCGAATAACCATTTCTTGTTTGTTTTATTTTCGCCACCATCAAACATGAATATTTTCTTTTGCCGACAGTTTATATTGGGGTGTAAGAATGGTGTTGCGTGTGTTGTTATATGTTTATATCTGTAAAAAGAAATATCCCCAAACAACATTTGTTTGTTTGTTTGTTTGTTGTTTAACGCCGCACTCAGCAATATTCCAGCTATATGACGGCGGTCTGTAAATAATCGAGTCTGGACCAGACAATCCAGTGATTTATATCATGAGCATCGATCCACGCAATTGGGATCGATGACATGCATCAACCAAGTCAGCGAGCCTGACCACCCGATCCCGTTAGTCGCCTTTTACGACAAGCAGAGTCACCTTTTACGGCAAGCATGGGTTGCTGAAGACCTATTCTACCCCGGAATCTTCACGGCTCCCCCAAACAAAAAACAAATAATCAAACAATATAAACCAACACAGCCTTGCCAACATGTGCCGAGTTAATTTTATTTATTCTCAGATTGTTTTAAATATTGTAAATGTCCCAGACTCGACAAATTTACATTGCGTCGGAATATAGCTGGAATGGCGCTGAGTGCGGCGTTAAATAACAAACCAACCAACCAATCCTATTTGCGGAGACAAACATCATTCATTCTCTTAGTCAACAATATAGGCTGTCCCATTTTTAGATAGACAAATTAAGTGATCAGACCATCCAGACAATAAAAAGAAAAGTATGCATATTAAATATGATTTTCACACCCATCTTTCCTATTTGACGGACCCGTGAAGATTCCGGGGTAGAATAGGTCTTCAGCAACCCATGCTTGCCGTAAAAGGTGACTATGCTTGTCGTAAAAGGCGACTAACGGGATCGGGTAGTCAGACTCGCTGACTTGGTTGATACATGTCATCGATCCCAATTGCGTGGATCGATGCTCATGATATAAATCACTGGATTGTCTGGTCCAGACCCGATTATTTACAGACCGCCGTCATATAGCTGGAATATTGCTGAGTGCGGCGTTAAACAACAAACCAACCAACCAATCCTATTTGACGGGCCCTGCTGGGGTTGTGAATTCGACTTGTCCCCCAGCACAACAATGCTTGTTGTTAGAGGCGAGTTGTGGTCAGGCTCGACGATTTGGTTTATTGCGTGTCATCGTATCCTGACGGCGTGGATCGCTCATAATATCAATCACTAGCTTGTCCGGTTCAGTATCGACTGTGCACAGACCACCAGCATATAGCTGGAATATTGCTGAGAGTGGCGGCAAACAATAATCAATACTACGGAACAGTCGCCGAGACAAAATTTCAGTAGTTTCTTGAGGGTGTCCGTATTCTATTCCCATCTCCCGCGCGCTCTTAGTTTTCGCTCCGACGTGAAATGATAAAAAACTTTTCTTACCACAATTTCACTGTGGAAAATTATACGTCATGAAACATTGCACACTAAAAAAAAAACAGGACAGCTTTATCTTTCTTCAGCCATATTTATTACAAAGTCGCGTCCAAACCAAAGAGATTCAATCTACGTCCTAACTTAATTTAAGGACTGTTAAATCCCGTTAGTCGCCTCTTACGAAAAGCCTTGTCGAATTTGACGGCAAGCATGGGTTGCTGAAGACCTATTCTAACCCGGACCTTCACGGGTATTTTTGCATATAACACTTATTACATATAGGATAACAAAATGGATTGGGTTTTAGTTACAATATATGATGTCAAAGTGGCATTATTGTTTGTAAAATATGTTTAAAAAAATAGAACTGATGGATCTTCAAATCAAAAACAATCCTAGAATGTGGACCATTCCATATTTCATATTTCTAATACAGAACATCTTTATCTTTTTTTCTTATTCAAAGCAACGAAAGTAATAATAAATGAGCATAGTTTCTGTATTGTTGATCGGTTTTAGCTTAACTAAAGTAGAAGGTGAAGAGAATAGTTAATTTTGTTCTTATGGTTCTTGTATACGTGAATAAATAAATACTTTAGGCATTATATCCGTGAGGAGAGCACATATTATGACGGCAGGTCTATCGCATATAGAACCCTGGTCTATCTCTCAGACCCTGGAGAATATATTGAAAAGGGAAACTCAGAATAGAGTAGAATCATTTGGCAAGCCTAGATTTTGTGTGTGGATATATGTATATATTTAAATGACTAAATTTAAGTCTAATAGACTTCCTGATTATGATTACAATTTAGTGCACACTCGTAAATACTTTAAAAAGGAATCCAACTCAAGTTTAGAAGGACTTGTCAAGTCTAGATTGCCTCAGCTCTGAATTTTAGCATTGCTCTGAGCTCCATTTGGACATATATATCCAAATGGAGCCCAGAGCAACGCTAAAATTATATATCCAAATGGAGCTCAGAGCAACGCTTATATATATATATATTTGATAATAAGCTTGGACGCGACGTTAAACCCCATTTCACATCACCTCAAAATTGCCAACAAAATGTGTTTGTTAGCAATTTTGAGGTTATTTGAAATGGGGTTTAACGTCGCGTCCCAGGTTATTATCAATTTGTGAAGTAAATAATATTATACGTATTTACAATTTGTATCTTTATAATTTAATCATCTTTGAATATAACGATTCGAATCAACAATATGATATTTACTTATTATCGACCAATAAATATATACATTTTTCAAGTGATGACATATTGGGAAAACGG